CCGACTGAGCCCGGATCCCAGGCTGAGCCCCCCTCTAGGCCCCGGTCCCGACTGAGCCCCCCTCGGGGTCCCAGCCTGATGAGTGCCCGCCCGCCTGCCCGCCGGCAGCTGGCCGCGCACCTTGCAGGGCGTGGGCGAGTGGTAGTTGTCGGGGAACTCCCAGCTCAGCAGCACCGAGGTCTTGGTGACCATCTTCACCTTGAAGTTCTTGGGGGAGACTGCGCCGGCAGCAGGGAGAGAGCAGAGGAGAGGCAGGTGAGGGGCTGCGCGGGGCAGCGGGGCGGCCCAGGCTCCCTGTCGTGGCTGTGCCTGTGCCCACGGCCTTCCTGCCTGCCCTGCCTGCCCTGCCTGCCCTGGCCCAGGCCCTGCGCGGAGACGCGGCTGCAGAGAGAAGGTGGGCGGCGGTGCCGGAGGCCATCCCACCTTTGCCTTCGCCAGCTCGGTCCGACTCGCCTCGACGTCCAGGAGGAAGCAGAGAAGCGGCCACTTACCTGGGGGGGAGGGGGTGGGGGGCGCGAGGCCCAGTCCGGCTCTGTGCGGTGCCGTGCGCCTACCTTGGTCCCGCAGGAACGTGCGGTAGCGGACTGGGGGGCTGTAGGGGCCGGGGCCCCTGCGCGTGTGCGCTCGCACTTGGAGGTCGTAGGCCGTGTCGGGCTTGAGGCCCCGCAGCGTGAGCATGTTCTCGGCCCCCGGCTCGGCCGCCGCCGGCAGCTCCGTCTCTCGGGCGGGGCCCAGGGCGCCGGCCTCTCGCACGGCCACCGTGTACTTGACGATAGCGCCATTGCGCTCGGCGGGCACAGGCGGCAGCCAGCGCAGCAGGACGGTGCCCGCAGAGGCATTGCCGGCCGCCTCCAGGATCTGCGGGTGGCCGTGGGGCGCGTCCTCGGGGATGCTCAGGACCTCGGCCGCCTCCTCGCCCAGGCCGCCGCGACTCCGGGCGGCCAGTCTGAACACGTACGTGGCCCCCTTGTGCACGCCCGCCGCCGTGTAGCGGTCCTCGGAGGGCGCGAACTCCAGCGTGGCCAGGGGTGGCGCGTCCTGGCGGCCGAACTGCAGGCGGTAGCCCAGCACCTGGTCCTCCGCGGCGGCAGGGGGCTCCCAGCGGGCCAGCAGGCTGCCCTCGGGGGTCTGCTGCACCGACAGGGTGGGGCGGCCCAGCACTGTGGGGACATTGGGGCCACGTGTCACCCTGGCCTGGAGCACAGAGATGGCGCCTCCGCCTGGTCTCTCCTCAGAGCCGCTCAGGGTGACCTGGGCGCCGGCCTGGCTCACGACCCACCTCACCACCCACCTTGGCCTCCCGAGCAGGGACACGGGCGCGTGCTCACAGCCTGGTCGTCATAGCGACCCGGGGGCGCCAGGCTTAGGTGGGGAGGGGGCACCGACCCCGCCGGGAGCCTCGAGGGCCTGGGGGGATGCTGCGGATTTGGGCAGGTGGCAGTGGGGACACTGCTCAGCCCTGGCCATCCCTGGGAGGGGGCGAGGGGAGGCCCAGGGGAGGCCCAGGGAGCTACGGGCACTGCGTGGCGGGAGGGCGGGACGGGGCCAAGGGTCAGAGTGGCAGCCAGTCCCTGAGGTCGTGGAGCAGCAGGGCACAGCGCCCCCTGCTGCCCACGCACACAGCCAGCCCCTGCCCGTCCAGGGGGCCTTTCTCCTGACTCCTCAGTCCTGGGCGAGAGCCGACCCTGGGCTGACGGGAGGGCCCTGGAGGTGGCAGGGAGCCGGGCGAGGCCTCCAGGCGGGAGGGGCCGGGCACCCCACAGGGTGCGGGGCAGCGGGCCCGGGTGCTGCAGGAGGCCGCCCCTCCGGGGCCTGGCCTGCGGGCTGCGCACCTGCTCCCTTGGTCACCACCACTCTGGGTTTGCTGCGAGCACCGTCGCCCTTCATGGTGTAGGCGGCTACGGTGATGGAGTAAGCGGTCTCAGGCTGCAGGTCTGTGATGACCATTTCCTGTGGGCAGCGCAGGGGTCAGGACACACCCCTGGGGAGAGCCTGCCCACACCTTCCCGCAACAAGTCAAGCCGAGGAGGCAGCACGCGGGCCACAGCAGAGACGTGCACACAAGCCATGCAGGGACCTGTTCACGCCTGTCCCCCTCAAGGCACATGCGGCCTGCAGCGCCTACTTGCCTCTGCGCTGGTGCCGGCCACCCTTGCCCAGCCTGTCCTCCCCACAGCAGCCAGAGGGTGCCTGTGAGCCCGAGTCAGGCCCCTCCTCTGCCCACAGCTCTCCATGGCTCCCTCCAGGGGTCAAAGCCCAAGCCCTGCCTGCTGCCCACGGGCCCTGCACAACCGGCCCTGTCCTCTCCCTGATTCCTGCCTCCTCCCTCCCAGCCACAGGTCCTCACTGTGCCCCCAGCTCACCAGGCGGGGTCCTACCCCAGGGCCTTTGCATGTGCTATTCTATGCCTCTGCACCCTGAGTCTGTCGGCCCCACGGAGCTGGGGGGAACCGGCAGCTTTTCAGGAACTCTGTCCCCAGTCTGAAACGGCTCTCAGGGCCAGAGAGCTCACCCCTCCCTTCTCATCCGCCCCGCCCCGCCCCAGGGATCCTGTCTGTACGAGCAGATTGAGACCGTGGGCGGCTGTGCGGCCCTGGGGAGTGTGACGTGGGCGCGGCGGCAGCATCTGCACCTTGGCCATGGGCACTGATGCCCAGCACACTGCCCAGAGAGCCAGCGTCATGTCCCCGTCCCCACGGCAGCTGTGACCGACATGCATCTGGGTCTTGCTGATTCGCACCCAGCTCCCCGACAGGACTGCGGCCCGGGGAGGGCGGGCCTGGCCCCGCGCGCTCCAGCTGCGGCTGGTGCTCAGAGGCTGTCGTCCATCTGAGGAGCCCTCCCCCCGGGTCCCCCTGCCACATGCACACACACAAGCACGGCCGGGCGCACTGGGAGCCAGGGGCACCCAGGTCAGGAGCTCGGGCAGAGGGTCTCCGGCCCCAGCCCACTGTCCTCTCCAGGGGCCTGGTGGGAGGGGCTGAGCAGGGGCCCAGCTGGGACTCCCCTAGACTCAGGAGGGGGGTGACACAGGCTGTGGGGTGTCTGGGGTCAGTGCCAATTTAACGTTAGACAGAGGAGCCAGATCCGGTGGTGCACACCTGTCATCAATCCCAGCGGCTCAGGAGGCTGAGGCAGGAGGATCGAAAGTTCAAAGCCAGCCTCAGCAACTTAGTGAGGCCCTAAGCAACTCAACGAGACCCTGTCTCTAAATAAAAAATAAAAAGGGCTGGGATGTGGCTCAGTGGTTAAGTGTCCCTGGGTTCAAACCCCAGCACCAAAAAAAAAAAAAAAAAAAAACCAAAAACGAAAGAACCCAGAGTTTTGGGGCTCTTGGAAGAGCCACCGTTTGGGCAGAAAGACAGCCCAGAGAGGGGCAGTGACTTGCCCCAAGCCACACAGTGATCCTGCTCTGCTTTCCGAGCCTCCAAGGAAGCGCTGGGTGGCACAGTGGCTCTGCAGGCTGTCCCCAGCACTGGCTCTTCTCCTGGCGGTGGGCCACATTAAGGACAGCTCGGCCCCAGGGAAACTCCCAGGCCAAGGGCAGAGCTGGGCCCTGAGTCAGGCTGGTGCAGACCCCAGAAGCGGGAGCCCCAGGTAAGGTATGCTGTGACCACGGGTCCTGCGCTGCCGGCCCAGGCGCCAGAGCACACAGGGTCAGAGCTGGGCATCCGCCAGGCATAAGCCCAGGTGGCAACGGGCGGGGGAGGAGACCCTCGGGCCCAGCGCGCAGGAGGCAGGCTACTCACGTATTCGGCGGTGTCGTCCATCTCCCACTGCGCGGGAGTGCGGCAGGGGAGAGAGCAGGGAGGTGAGCGGAGGCCAGAGGCAGAGAAGCAGAGGACAGTGCCCCCCCCCAGCCCCGGCCCCGCCCACCTGGGCATCGGCCAGCATGACGTCTTTGATGCGCGGTGGCCCGCGGGCCTCGGCGCCCTCCATGCGCACGTAGTGGACCTGGTAGCCGCGGATCTGGCCATGCTGCCGGCCGGGCGCGGGCGAGCGCCACAGCACGCGGATGGCCGTGGCGTTGAGCGCCTCCGCCTCCACCTTCCGCGGCGGCGCGCTGGGCACTGGCGGGCGGGAGGGGAGGGGAGGGGCGAGCGGGGCCGTTACCGGGGGCCGGCCCTGCCCCGGGCGGCGACACTGCCCGATGCCAGGATGCTGAGGGTCACCATGCGCTGAGCGCTCGCCACTGGCCAGGAGGGCAAGGCCCCCTACAGCCCTCCCACGCCCCGAGGGGCCCTGATGGCACGCCCCATTCACTGATGGCCACCCAAGTCCCCTAGGGCTAACTTTCCAGTGGGGACACCGGGGAGGCTCAGGGCTTTCCTCCGGCTGGACGGGGACTCAGTCTCTCCACAGATGGGACAGAGGCTGGGAGAGCTGACTTGACCAGCAACGGTCATGGCCAGGGCTTGAACTGGGCGGCCCAGCTGCACACTCCTGAACATCCAGCAGGTCCACTTGCACTGGGGATCGTTTCGGTGTCCAGCACCTCAGAGCCTCACCCACCCGCTGGCCTCTTGGGCCCGTGAGCTCAGCCTCGTCTCTGCACCCAGGCCATCCCCGGACTTTGCTTCTTAGAACCTCGCAGCCTGTCACTGGCCACGTGGACTTTACACCACAGAAACCGGCCACGGCTACAGCTCAGCGTCCAGCCAGGCTCCCGGCACCTCGGGCGCTGCGTCCAGGCAGCCGACTCCCAGGGAGCCGCGGGCCGGGCTGGTGCCAAGGTCTAGGGCTCGGGCCCCGGAGGCAACCCTGATTTGCTGGGGGCTGTGCGCAGACCGCGGGCCTTCTATCACTAGTGCCCAGGGCGAGGGGCTGCCAGCTGGGCCAGCACCCCTCAATAAGGCCGCCCAGGCCTGGGGCCCCCAAATCCACGCTCGGGGAGCCGGCTGCTTGGCGGCTCCCACCTTCTGACCACCAGCCCAGCTTTCTGAGATGGCGGCTCCGAGGCAGGGTGGGCTGGGCCTGGGGGGTCGGTCCGGGCCGGCCGGTGCTTACCGTCCTCGTCGGTGCGGATGACCACGGGCGAGCTCTCGGGCCCTGGTCCCACCTCTGTGTGAGCGACAGTTGTGATACGGTACTCGGTCCACTTCTCCAACGCCTCCAGCAGGATCTGGGTGGTGGTCGGGGGGATGCCGTTCACCTCCTTGGGTTCCGGGTCCTCCGAGCCCAGCGGTCGGTAGCGGACGCTGTAGCCCACCAGGGCCCCGTTGTGTGTGTCCGGCGGCGGCGGGCGCCAACTTACCAGAATGGCCGTGGAGCGCATGCTGGTGCACTTAACATCTTGAGGGGGGGCTGACGGTTCTATTGGGGGAGAGCGTGGGGGGGGTGGGATGGGTGGGGAGGGGCGGGGAAACAAAAGATGGGAAGAGAAAATAAAAAAGAAGATGATAACAACAAAACAGAACCAAACAGAAGTCGAACCCAGAAGAAGCGGGTGTCAACCAAGGGTGAGATGGGCGGGTGGACGGGCGGCGGGAGGGCGGGGGGCTGGCCAAGAACACTGCGCTCACGCTCGGGGCTGCGAATGCCTGGCGCACAGTAGGTCTCAGCACAGGCAGCGGAGGTACCCGTGCACCGTAACAAGGGGACAGCCGGTAGGAGCCCCGTCCACAGGGCACCCACCCACAAACTCCAGGCTCTGGTCAGGGCTTCAGAGAGCAGGAGAAACGGCTGTTTGACTTCATCCTGCAGCCATGGGGACAAGGCCAGCACGGTGCCCGACCACGCCCAGGTCCTCTGCTACCGTTCAGTTATGAGATATGTCTTGGTAACTGTCCAGGCTGCCCTGAACTTGTGCTCCTGCCTCAGCCTTCAGTCACTGGGATGACTAAAAACATCTATATATGGAACACCTACTATGTGCAGGGCACCAAGCCAGGGGAATACAATAAGGCCCCATCTACTGGCACCTACTATGTGCTGGGCACCTACTGTGTGCCAGAAACCAAGCCAGGGGACTCTCAATAAGGCCTCATTTACTGGGCGCCTACTATGTGCTGGGCACCAAGCCAGGGGAATTGCAAGAAGGCCCCCTCTACGGGGTGCCTACTATGTGCCAGGTACCTACTGGGTGCCAGAAACCAAGCCAGGGGACTCTCAATAAGGCCCCATCTACTGGCGCCTACTATGTGCTGGGCACCAAGCCAGGGGAATCGCAAGAAGGCCTCATCTACAGGGTGCCTACTATGTGCCAGGCACCTACTGGGTGCCAGACACCAAGCCAGGGGACTCCCAATAAGGACCCATCTACTGGGCGCCTAGTATGTGCTGGGCACCAAGCCAGGGGAATCGCAATAAGGC